TGAGTCCTTTGGGAAGAACGATACTTGGTCTTACCAAGTTTATTACTTGAACGATTCGGTCATACTTGCCGATTGAAAAAGAAGTTTGTGACATCATATTTTGGTGTTCATAAATTTGTCCATCAGGCACCACGACTGGAACACCACGATTGGAGGCAGGGACTCCTACGGTTTGAGCGACGAAGATGATGGTTCGAGATTAAGCCTATGATTGATGACAATCGTTTGATGACAAGAATGGCCAGAAAAGAACCAAATTTACTAAGCATTAAGGTTTGATTTACTTACCCGATTAAGCACCTCAATGCCCAACTACGGCACCCCACCCAACAATGAGCCCCAACCACAGTGTTTGATGAAGGATTGATGAAGGTAACAATAATAGATAGAGAGAGATGAGCAAGAACCAAAGCACAATCTACACCCACACCGAAGAGGGCACTAGAGAGCAACACCCACACCAAATATCGCTCCATAGAAGGACACCGAACTGAGACTGAAGATGGTTCGAAAGAGAAAGGAAAACGAAATATATACGGAATTTATATACGAAACATCCGTATATAAATAACCGTATATAATATCCGTATATAACATTTTTTCTAAATTCTGTATATAAATTCCGTATATAATATCTGCCTTATATACGGATTTCAATCCATATATAAAGTTCTGTATATAAATCCATTATTTCTTGTAGTGATTTTTGATGTGTGGGAGAATGTGAAGGCCTGAAAAATAGAGTTTAAAAGAGCAAAAAGGTTATCAAGTTAATAGGACCAGACTTTAAAAAAGCCCATTTAAAACATCCTGGTCCATTAGCTTAAGAATTATGTCTCTATCTAAAACTCAGTTTCAGATTTTCTCTACCTTCTCTCTACCACAACTCTATCTTCTCTCTCCCAAATCTCTTCTCTGAATCGTTTAATCTCTGATCAGGTGCCGCCAAAACGTCTGCAACATAGTGGGCTTCGAAACTAACCGATTCATTTCGGATTCTAAGCTGGTAAGTCCCTCCATGCAACCTCTTCTATATTCTTGAACTGCAACAAGCATTTTGTTGGTTGGATGTACCTTAAGCTTTCTCCTTTTCCATCTTTTTTACTCCATTCTACCTCTAAGAGTTGTTTTCATCACCATTTTGGTGGGTTGTAGGGTTTTATTGAGTTCTTGCGGTGAAGGAACTGTTGGGGTGTTCTTGCGAGCTATCCAGTCAAGTTACTCTAAGGTAAAGGGAGCTAGAATACTTCTTTAAATTTCTTGCATGAGGTGTATGTATATTGGATTCTTAATGGGTGCACTGTTTGGAGTTGTATTTTGCGTTTTCAATATGTTGTATTGTATGTGTTGATATGTGAAATCCATGAATCTGTGCTGTGATGTTTGGAATTGTTTTGGATGAGTTGGAATTGCTAAAATTGGTCAATTAGAGGTGATTGAAGGGTGGAATCTGGTCTGACTTTTGTTGGATAGAAAATTTAGAGTTTTATTAGTTTTTAGGTCATTTTGAGAGGGAGTGAGGTAGTGATTTTGAGCATTTGAGGTCTAGAGCGTAATTGGGTTGTTGGGGCAGTCTTAACTAGTGTATTGTGACTTGTTTGAGTCACTAAATTGATCAAAATAGGTGGAAGCAGTGGGATTGGGTTTTGGGTAACTAAGTTAGGAAAATTGGTGTTTTAGAGTTGAAATTTGAGTTTTGATTACTTTAGAATGGTAGTAGGAATGTTTAGAATCTTTTAGATAAGTTTAATTGGTAAAAAAACAAGAATTAAGGGTGTTAGAAGTTAGTGAAAATGGTTAGAAATGGTCATGTTGGGTTATGTCCGCAATTATGCAGAATTCTGTAGAGCTCTGCAGAATGATGCAGTTGACTGTTTGGTCTTGTGCTGCTCTCGGTCATAACTGGGTTGGTCTCTTTTGAGTCTTACCAGTTCATGATCGTTCGGTCTCTCAAAGAGTGTTCGGTCTTGTACTAGCACTTGGTCTCTTAAAGAGTGTTCGGTCTGGTACTGGAACTCGGTCTCAAAGCTCTAAGTGCTCGGCCAAAGCTCTATGTGTTCGGCCAAAGCTCATAATGTTCGGCCAAAGTTCTAAGTGTTCGGCCAAAGTTCTATGTGTTTGGCTAAAGATCATAGCGTTCGGTCAAAGCTCTAAGTTCTCGGCCAAAGCTCTAAGTGTTCGGCCAAAGCTCATAGCGTTCGGCCAAAGCTCTAAGTGTTCGGCCAAAGCTCATAGCGTTCGGCCAAAGCTCTAAGTGTTCGGCCAAAGCTCTAAGTGTTCGGCCAAAGCTCATAGCGTTCGACCAAAGCTCTAAGTGTTCGGCCAAAGCTCATAGCGTTCGATTCAAGTTCTTTAGCTATTGTTTTGGGTAAATTAAGTGTGTGTGTTGAGTTCCGTGTAAAGTATGATTGTTGTAATGTGATTTAAGTTGAAAGTATGTGAAGGTATGAAGTATTGTTGTGTTGAAAGTGAAAAGTATCAGTATTGGACGTAATTCGATGATCCTCAAGGGGGATACATGGTGGTGCCCTTCTAGTGTGTTTAGAATGAATTGCATGGTAGCTTAGTCTTGGGGGTTTTCCTGACGCTCCAATGGTCTTTCATTCTCAAGTAGAGAGGATTGATCCATGTGGTGAGGAGTAGCAAGAGGTCCAATATGGCCCAAGGTGAGTGATAACGGACTAACCTCGTGAGTGTGGTAGGGTGAAACCCATTGGCAATGGCGTTGCAAAGTATTAGATGCCACTACGAGTGCATAACCTGCCATAGGTCGGCAATCATTCTAACTCCGGACGAGTCAAGTGTAAAGTGTAACAAGTGGTGTTGTATGGTTCATTAACGTTGAATTAAACTTGCATGTTATGTGTGACTGTTATAACATGATTTTTATATATTTAGCTCACCCTTCTGCTTGTGTTTGTCTTTTGTGTGTGTTGTGTTTCTGTTGCATTGATCATCCATTTGGATGTGAGCATTTATGGATGAGGTACCCCTGGAGTATGCCCTTGTTGGTAATGATGTTGCATCTTATTTTGTTTAGGAATTTCTTAATTAAGTTCTATTGTTTTGAAATACTCTGTTAAGTAGGAAGTTTTTAAATTGTGGCTTATTTTGGATGACTGTAAGCTTAACAACTTATTTGCAAGTCTACTCTAACTGTTCTCTTTATAAAAATGTGGACCTACTACATCATATTTCTATATAATCTAGGACGTTACAATAAATGTTTCTTCTGTGGCCTTTCATGAAACTGTAACATCGCGTTCTCTTTATTTTTGTTGGATTTGATATAAAGAAAATTCTAGCCTTCTTTTCACACATCTTTTCTTGTTCAGGATATTACTTTATTTGGTGAAGATCATAGTGAGTTAGACTTTGACAACAAGTCATATGAGGCAAGTATATGGTGTATATTATGGTTTATGAATGTTTTATAAGGTCTAGGATAGTAAAAACTAAGTGATTATGAAAAATTTTAATTTGTTAACTCTTTAAAATTGGACAATAGGAGCTTGTTGACTATTTTCAAAGGATTGGTAACGTAAGCATGGGTTTGTCAAACTAAATTATTGCAAGAGTGGTGAAGACAAAAAATTATTTCTTACCTAATAATAACTTGGAGGGAGTAACAATAGAGGAACATGAAACTGATCTTTGTGTAATATGTCAGGTTTGAATTTTAGCACCATGAATAATTCAATACTTTGTGATGTATTAAACGTGTCTTATTTTTTTGGTAATATTCATTCATCTTTTTAATTTACTTGATGTGATTCTTCATTTGGGTATGGTATATTTCAAAAAGCATGTTAATTTTTCTTTTTGGCCTATTAATTGGATTACTTATGAATTATTTCACAGGATGAATTTAAAAACAAGGCATAATACCCAATTTTGTCCCCACTTTGGTTCGGAAATCTCAAGTTAGTCCCTTTATAGAAAAGTGAGTTGAATGGATCCTTACTTGTAATTAATTGACTCTAATGAGTCCCTTCCGTTAAATAGAAGGAAACGGAGTTAGTGGACTGATGATGTGGCAGAAAGCTTCAGGTTTGCGTGCTTACGTATCAATACGCAATTGTTTGCACAAAGCTTCAGGTTTGCGATGGCCATTTTTGGTTGGGAGGCCAGCGAACTGCAGGGAGAAGAAAGAAGAAAAAGACTCTGGGTCTCATCCCGTTGGAATGGCGCGGAGAGAAGAAAGAGACTCTGTAACGATAATAATAATAGTTTATATGAAGAAGAAAGATAAATGAAGAAGGAAAGAAGAGAATAAGTGCAGTGATCTTTGTGCGTGTGTTGTTGTTGATCTTGGTTGGGTGTGAGTCTTGGGTGTGAAAATGTCGCACAGCGATACCATACCTCTTCACCCATCTTCCCAATCCGACATCGACGAGATCGAGAACCTCATCAATGCCAGCGTTCACCAATCAGTCCCTCCCGCACGCCCTCCAAGTCCCCCACGCGCCTCCATCCCGGTCTCCGTCTCCGCCGCCCCTTCCCCCTTCATTTCTTCCAACCTCCCTACGCCGCCGACGGTCCCCAAATCCTCCTCTTCCGCTCCTCCCCCTTCCCCGCCTCCGCGTTCCGACATCTCCGGGTTCGGACCCGCCCCCAACACCCTCACAGAGCCCGTATGGGACACTGTGAAGCGCGATCTTTCGAGAATCGTGAGCAATCTGAAGCTGGTTGTCTTCCCTAACCCTTACCGCGAGGACCCTGGTAAGGCACTCAGAGATTGGGATCTGTGGGGCCCTTTCTTCTTCATCGTCTTTCTCGGCCTCACCCTCTCTTGGTCTGCCTCTGTCAAAAAGGTATATATCTATTTCTATCTTCGTTGTACTCTTTCTTCCTAATTGGTAGGGTTTGCAATTCAGATCGCAAATCGCACTTTGTTGATCTGTCGTCATCACCTTCTGATCTACTTTTAGTGGCTAGCTCAGCTGAAATTTTCGTGGTTGTTAAGTGGCGTGTCTCTGGATAGAATCGTTGGGTAGAATTCACTTAGGAGTTTCACGTTGTGCCTGATCTTGATCGTATTGCAAATGTGTACTACAATCACTTGGCTTTAAGGCTTCAAGTATTGCTCTCTGTGTTGCAGTCACAACGTGAAAGAATTGCGTATTGACACGTAAGCACGCAAACCTGAAGCTTTCTGCCACATCATCAGGCCACTAACTCCGTTTCCTTCTATTTAACGGAAGGGACTCATTAGAGTCAATTAATTACAAGTAAGGATCCATTCAACTCACTTTTCTATAAAGGGACTAACTTGAGATTTCCGAACCAAAGTGGGGACAAAATTGGGTATTATGCCTAAATATAATACCCGTATTTACACGCCAAAACACGGTTCTTTTAAATAAACATAACATATTTATTATATTAATTTAAATTTATAAAAGTATAATTATAATTTAAAAATTATAAATTAGTTAATATAAATTTAAAATATTATAATAAAATATAAAATAGATATCAATATTACTTAAAATTAGTTTATCATTTTATTAATCTTTTATATATATTATTTCTTTATATACTTTATTTATATATAATTTTGTTAAAGGCTAATCATTTTAATTACATGATAAATTTAAAGTTAAATATATTTTTAGTTCCTCAATGAAGAATTTTTGCCCTCCCCTCTTTCTACCTTTTAGTGATATGCACAAATATCAAGCAGAGAAGTAATATAAGCCATCAAGGTACTGTGTCAACACACATTAAATATTTTGAATGTTGATTAAGCGTGGGGCCGTATTATGATGTTCAAAACATTCTATTGTAGGTCATTTTTCATTATAAATGTTTGATTTGGTAAGGCATTCAACATATAGGATCTTTAGAAGGGTGTAAAACATTAGATGTTTTATCCAAAATAACATGCAACATTGTGTGGTCATTCTTTAGATGATTCATGTTCATAAGACGTTGTTTGAACTTAACCACGTTTTGGAAAAATATATTTAGCTTTCAGTGGTTATCATGAGATAGACACTTTATCATAAAATGCTTATATAAGATGTGGTTCATTTAGGCATTTAGTGTTTATGAAAACATGTTTGTTGTTCATATGGTCTGTTAAATGCATTAACTAAGAAAGACAATTTTTTGTGGACGTTATCTCAAAAGTTTTGTCTATCAACACAATTATAGTCTAGACAAACATTATTATGAGCTTGTCTTTATCTATAAAAGATGTTCTAAAATATGTCTCCTTTAAACACTATTTCTTAAAACAACTTTCATTCAAAGTGATATTCAGTTTAATGTTTTTTATTAACACTTCAAAACTTGAGTTCGTTATAAATAGCTAAAAATATGTTTCGGAGATGGGCAGTAAAACCAATATTTAGTAGCATGCGAAAATGGATAAAAAAACCATAGTCCATTGAGAAATAAATAGATCGATTGCCCACCATGGTTCACGGCATGATCCCATGGACTGAGCAGAACTGACGATGTGAGATGTAAAAATTGGACGGGAATACCTACTAAAGCCTCAAATGACTTGCGAAAGACGAAATATGACTTCTAATTCCTTACAGTTGAAAACTCATCAGATTAAAAACAGAGAGTATGCCACAACCATTTCGAAGTGAAGCAAAAAAGGAACTTCTTCTAATAAAGGTCCCTATTAAAAAAAGAAACAGAGTTATCTTGATACTTGTATTCCAACAAAAATAATTTCTTTTGCGTGACGGTTGTTGTTCTACGTTTCCAGGGGGAGTGACAGGTGATACAGACAATAGAAGTTCTGGCATGCCCTTATTTTCAATATCAGCACACAGACAACTCACACTTGTTTCTGACTTCTAGAACATATCAATCCTAGGTTTGGAATGAGTGTTATAGCTGGGTTAACGCTGAGAATGATTATTGCATATAACCAATCCGACACATTAGGTGGTTTGGACGATATATTTTTCTCAATTAGAACTTAGAGGTGGTAGACATTGAAATGCAAGTAATGGATGCATGAAATTGGAAGAGAGAAAGGTCTGAATAAATTTTGCACTTGATATGGGGACATTAAAGGAGTATGTAGACTAGAGGGATCATTTGAGTCCCTGGCCAAGATGAGTTGACCCTGACCCCTTTAAAATCAAGCCCCAATTTTCTAGCCCACTTAATAGGGACTTTATTAACGAACCCCAACCCCTAAAGCTCCACATTAAATGGGCTGGCGAGTTAGGGTTGGGTAGGGTGGAAGCTACCCCAAACTAAATTAATTCACTTTATATGTTTTTTAGTTAATTTCTTTAGTTACTTTACAAGTTCCATAATTTCAAAATTTACATGATATTAATATCTTTAAAAATATAAATAGTATAAATATTGATTGTAGAAAAATATGTTTAATAATATTTTAACTTTAAGATATTTTAAATATATAAATTTTATTGTTTTTGGAAAGTTTAAAAAGAACAATTTGTATTATTTTTTATTTAAAAGGAAAATAGAAAAAATTTCAAAAAAGAATTATAAAAGTAACACAGTTGAAATTTGATTTTTCAATAATCGAATTCTGTATGTATATAAATATTGAAATTTAATTATGGGATAGATTTTAAATTCAAATCTACTGATTGATGAATTTACCTATCGGTAAAATTTTATTTTTTTAGTTTGGTCAAAAAATTCTTTTGTTGAATGTTTGTATAGATATTACATTAAAAATTAAACCACAACTTATAAAGTTCAAAATAATTCACGTAATAAAAGAACAATTTTTAGTGAAAATCCTTGTTAGGGTAAAATTGTTATAAAGATCATATTATGTGTAAAAAGATATCACAGAATCCATGGTTATTAAATCAGATTTTTTATCTAACTTTTAGATTAAATTAGTATTTTAAAATCAGACTTATCTGTCCAACAAAGATCGTTTTCATGTGAATTATTTTCATAATTGAGCCGATTGCACTATAAAAAATAATTAAATCATAGAACAATATTTTAAATAAAGTATAATGTTATAATTTAGTAATACTAAAATATTAAAATTATTATTGTGTATTTAATATATTAAAATAAAATAAACAAAAATTTATAATCATTATACTAAATAAATAAATGACAATCAATGCTCTTAAGAAGAAAACATAATAAAAAGGACAAATGAAATATAATTGAAATATATGAAAAAAACATAAAACATATATAAATTGATTTAAAGGATGACTGAAGATTATACGGTGTTCTAAATTTTTTAAAAGAATTATATAACTTTAGTAAAAGTAATAAAATATAATATTATAAATTTGGGAAAATTAAAAAAACTTACAAAAGTTATTAAGTTAAAAATTTCACATGTTGCACACCAATTAAAAATATGTATGGTAATTTTGATCACAAATCTTAAACTCGAATGATATTGATTTAAACTAGTGACACAAAAGATTACCATCTACAAAAAAATCGTTAGTCCATCAAAATTTACAAATTAAATTAAATTGTTTTAATTTTAAAACATTTTATGTGGGATTATCGTCTGAACGTCAAATTTAAAACCAAAATTTAAGAGGGGGGGGGGGGGGGGTGGTGTGGGTTTGGGGGGAACACCCATAATAATATGAAAAAATTATCAAAACAAAATTTGGAAATTTAAGGCTCAATTGTATACAGCTATTATTATTAATAATTAATAGAGAACAGTTATGAAGTAGAAACATTAATTTAGTTGGTACAAAAAAATTATGAGGTACACATGAATCATTCATGATTATAGTTATTACTCCACAAAGATAAATGACAGCTAGCTACCAACGCAATAATACACATGGATTTGTGATTCCCTTGTATATGATAGTATGTTTCTGGAACGGTTTTACAATTTGTGTAAAAGGAAAGCCCATGGGCTGCCGCCCTAGCCTATAGGGCTTTTTAGGGATTTTTAGCCCTTGGATATTGGTAATAAAGAACATTTTTTGGTCTGTGGACTTTTTTGGCCCCAACCACCGTAGGGTTAGGCCACCAAACGTTATAAAGGGGCATTTGAACGATCTAATGTAGACACACACGATGTTCTGATTGAGTTCCAAATTAAACGTGTTGTCATCATTTGATCATTTCGGTCCAGTTACTCTTTATTAAGTTTCTCTTGACCCTTCATTTACATCGACGTGGATGTTCTTTTTTATGTATTTAAAGCAATGTTTGCAAAACTGTGTGCTCATAACATTATATATAGATTTGTGGACAGTCAGTAGTAATGAAGTGAATGATTCTTTTTCTTTCTAGAGTGTGGAAAGTACGATTTTGACCCAGAAGTACCACACAAGGAAGGGGACCTTGAAATGGTTGAATGCTTGCCCATTTGTTAGGCTATATTATTTTTCGTAATGTCTCAAATTGTATTTATTTAATCTCAAATAGTTATATTAACTGAAATTAGTTGCATTTAATATACATGTGGAGTTGCAATAATTTATTCATTTTTGATATCCATACGGTTGAATATCATCTCTCTCTTTTATCTTATATATACTATATATATATATATAATAAATAGTATAATATATAAACGATCTAATTGATAATTTATATGGTTAGCTAAATTTAGGGTTCCAATATGTTTTTATCCCTAAGGTACATTTTAGCCTCCTGCTCCAAGGAAACTCAGATTTTGTTGCGTCGTCACAACACTAAAACGTTTAAAAACAGTGGATGGTGCTAACGTTTGTCCACGTGTGTCACAAGTTTTGGTCCTATTCTTGCCACGCTTGGTATTTTGTAATGTAAAGTGAGACTATTGGTTTCTTAGGTGGATTGGTAAAGTTTGCTTCAAAGTGTATTGTGAAGGGTTGAAAGAGCGAAAGACGAGATTATCATTTAAGGTGGAACACGAACCCTAAGTATTTTCAAGACAATGTTATAATTCTAAGTATAAGAACCTCAGTTCATTCGCGTACTACAAAATCCCTAATTTTCTAGCACAAACCTAATTTCATTCGCGTAAAAAATCAAATGTAACACAGCATCAAACAATTAATCACATGTGGCAAGAAGAAGATAGGAAGCAAAACTGTGTGAACACACGTGGAGGACCAAAAATTCTTCATTGAGGAACTAANCTTCACCCATCTTCCCAATCCGACATCGACGAGATCGAGAACCTCATCAATGCCAGCGTTCACCAATCAGTCCCTCCCGCACGCCCTCCAAGTCCCCCACGCGCCTCCATCCCGGTCTCCGTCTCCGCCGCCCCTTCCCCCTTCATTTCTTCCAACCTCCCTACGCCGCCGACGGTCCCCAAATCCTCCTCTTCCGCTCCTCCCCCTTCCCCGCCTCCGCGTTCCGACATCTCCGGGTTCGGACCCGCCCCCAACACCCTCACAGAGCCCGTATGGGACACTGTGAAGCGCGATCTTTCGAGAATCGTGAGCAATCTGAAGCTGGTTGTCTTCCCTAACCCTTACCGCGAGGACCCTGGTAAGGCACTCAGAGATTGGGATCTGTGGGGCCCTTTCTTCTTCATCGTCTTTCTCGGCCTCACCCTCTCTTGGTCTGCCTCTGTCAAAAAGGTATATATCTATTTCTATCTTCGTTGTACTCTTTCTTCCTAATTGGTAGGGTTTGCAATTCAGATCGCAAATCGCACTTTGTTGATCTGTCGTCATCACCTTCTGATCTACTTTTAGTGGCTAGCTCAGCTGAAATTTTCGTGGTTGTTAAGTGGCGTGTCTCTGGATAGAATCGTTGGGTAGAATTCACTTAGGAGTTTCACGTTGTGCCTGATCTTGATCGTATTGCAAATGTGTACTACAATCACTTGGCTTTAAGGCTTCAAGTATTGCTCTCTGTGTTGCAGTCACAACGTGAAAGAATTGCGTATTGACACGTAAGCACGCAAACCTGAAGCTTTCTGCCACATCATCAGTCCACTAACTCCGTTTCCTTCTATTTAACGGAAGGGACTCATTAGAGTCAATTAATTACAAGTAAGGATCCATTCAACTCACTTTTCTATAAAGGGACTAACTTGAGATTTCCGAACCAAAGTGGGGACAAAATTGGGTATTATGCCTAAAAACAATGAGGAGATAGGAATTTTGCAATGTTAACATAAATTCCATGGAGACTGCATAAAGAGATGGTTACATGAAAAAGCTGTTTATCCCATCTGCAAATTAGAAATATTAGACCATGAATGGAAGTTGGAAGAGAAAAGACTTATTTCATTATTAACATTGTCGATTTCATTTATTTTATGGTTTTCGAACAATAATAATCATGTTGTATAGATGTTAATATGTTAACTTTAGGAATTTGTAATGTCAATTATTTTTAGTTTTCACACAAATAATTGGATGTAATGATTCCTTGTATGTAACAACAAAATTTGGTTTATTCATAAATTTTTGAATGTCCTACTTTCATATCTTCTTACATAGATTGTTGAATGTCTTATTTTCAAGTATGTGATGAAATTTTTTTTTTATACTGTAACATTTTTTTGTCCATTGTTTGTGTCGCGTACATAAATAAATCGTGTTAATTTAATGTGACAACATTTTTATAAATTGAACTGTAAAATAAATTCACTCGTCATTGTTTTATCATTTTAATCAAGAATATATTTTCTTCTATATTAAAAGTTTTAGAAGATCTAATTCTTTTTTTAGCAATTGGATCATAAAGATTAATTACATATTTTATTTTTAAATTTGTAAAATTTTAATAGTTATGTAGAAATAAATGTAGTTATTTTTATTGATTTATGTTGTTTAGACATCAAAATAGTTATAACAGAAAAAATTATATGAATGTTGTATATTCTATTTTAACAAACTTAATAGAGTACGATTATATTCGTTACTATGATTATAAAAAAAAAAAAAAAAACTTCTCTAATGAATAAAAAAATTGTATACATATTTTATTATGAACTATACTTGAAATAAAAATATTATCTTAAAACTAAAACTTTATATATATATTAAAATAAAATTTATTAGATATATATTTATATAGAAAAGTAAGATCATATTAATACAATCTTATCCATGTAAAAAATTGAGATTTTACCTATTATAAGAAATATTATTATTGGTTTTGATATCAATTTTCTCTTCGAATAAAATAAGATCTCATTTATCAAACATATAATTAATTCTACAAATCTGAAGAGTTAATTATAGATAAAAAAGTATAAATAAAAATCTTTCACTCTCATATATATATATATACATATATATACATATATGTACATATGTATACATACATATGTATACATATATATGTATACATATACATATGAATACATATATATGTATACATATATATATATATTAGTATATAATTTAATTTATTTAAAAGAAATTAAGTTTATCATGTATGTATTCAAATACATTCTCTCTTTAATAATTAAATAAAATAATATCCCTTAATTATTTTAAAAAGACGTAACCTTAAATATAATTATAAATGTAATTGTATCATAATTATCTATTTCACAAAACTATCGTTATATTATATTATCAAAATGCTAAGTATAACATGGTGAATTATCTAAAAAATATATGTACAAATCAAATATAATATATGTAATTAAGAAAATAAAATTTATCTTTTGTATACAGAGATACAGTTCACTTTTAGTTATATGTATGTTTTGTTTGTTAGAATTTAATTAAAATATAATGACTAAATTAAATAATAACCCAAATATATAAATATCAAAGGGGTAATCTTTCCATTATTATATAGATACACGGTTATATTTTTTCATATATATTTCTTTGCTTTTACTCTTAAATTACAAATACATATATATAGTTATGGAGAATAATTTTATATCTCTTTTTTTTCAATTATGTGGTAAATCCTAATGCCACCAAATCAAATCTAGTAGATATTTAAAATTGAATTTTAAAAATCAAATTTATCTTTAACAATAAGATTTTCTTTTAATATAATATTTCATATTCATGTTACATTTACAAATGAAACACTATTAATATCCCTTTCTCTTACTTACTCATCCTCTAGTATTTTTTTTAGTTTCTTATATTCATATGTTATTTCTTCAAAAGGGAAACCTCTTTCAGAAATCTACACATTGTGATTTGATCACGAAGTAAGTCTCTATTATTTTTATTTCATGTTTTAATTTGTTAGTGAGATGATCTTGGCTCCAATGTTTAGTCTTATTTCTTTTACTTTTCGATTTTCCATCAACTGATTATTGTTGTTTGCTTTCAAATTTAATAGTTTTCTTTTTGAACTTTTAGATTAAGTGTGGTGAGATGACATTTTTTGGCTTAAATTTTTATTTTTACTTTAAATTTTGGATAAACCATTTTATATAATCTTTTTTTATTATAAAAAAATTGGTTTATCCTAATATTCACAAGCACTTAGTACTTGTATGTACGTGAATATCTAGTTCTCATTTCTTATCTAGTTCTTTCAAATGGTTAATTTCTCTTATTATTTTAAATTTTTACTTATTATTTTCAAAGTAACTAATTTTATTCACAATATTTGGTATAATAGGATTAAATGGCATCATCAAATATGTATGTGGAGGTGACAGTATCCGTGAGAACAACTGATCTAGATTCTCATTACATTCTAGATGCTTATGAAAATGAGATAATGCACAGAATGACAGAATATGATGGGCACCAACCTAATCTTAACATAGATGTTCCAGTTTCATCTAGCTTGGTTGAATCTTTGAATCCACATTTCAATGATTCGGCTGCTAATAATTTTGCAATTTCTCCCTACAATGCAAGGCACACTTACATTAGCAATCCCTTGTTCCCATCCTATTGTGTCGAGGGATATATGATGACACATGACTCTAACGGTTTGATTCTAGGAAATTATTCTGGTGATCAACACTATCAACCCGTTTCACCTATCTGGTCAGACCATCTACAGTACCATCCCTTTTATTATCAAACACACCTCGTGCAGGAGGCCAGAAATGAGTCAATGAACTTTCATGCTCTAGTAATTGCTCCATCATTTGGAATTCCAACAAATCCNTACAATGCAAGGCACACTTACATTAGCAATCCCTTGTTCCCATCCTATTGTGTCGAGGGATATATGATGACACATGACTCTAACGGTTTGATTCTAGGAAATTATTCTGGTGATCAACACTATCAACCCGTTTCACCTATCTGGTCAGACCATCTACAGTACCATCCCTTTTATTATCAAACACACCTCGTGCAGGAGGCCAGAAATGAGTCAATGAACTTTCATGCTCTAGTAATTGCTCCATCATTTGGAATTCCAACAAATCCTCCAAGAAGTTTTTCAATACCCTTACAAAATGCACCATTCACGAGTACACATATTCACCAACCTCCACCTCTTGGACATCGGATAAATGTTTCTTCTGTGGCCTTTCATGAAACTGTAACATCTCGTTCTCTTTATTTTTGTTGGATTTGATATAAAGAAAATTCTAGCCTTCTTTTCACACATATTTTCTTTTTCAGGATATTACTTTATTTGGTGAAGATCATAGTGAGTTAGACTTTGACAACATGTCATATGAGGCAAGTATATTGTGTATATTATGGTTTATGAATGTTTTATGAGGTCTAGGATAGTAAAAACTAAGTGATTATGAAATTTTTTAATTTGCTAACTCTTTAAAATTGGACAACAGGAGCTTGTTGACTATTTTCAAAGGATTGGTAACGTAAGCATGGGTTTGTCGAACGAAATTATTGCAAGAGTGGTGAAAACAAAAAATTATTTCTTACCTAATAACTTGGAGGGAGTAACTTCAGAGGAGCATGAAACTCATCTTTGCGTAATATGTCAAGTTTGAATTTTAGCACCATGAATAATTCAATACTTTGTGATCTATTAAACGTGTCTTATTTTTTGGGTAATATTCATTCATCTTTTTAATTTACTTGATGTGATACTTCATTTGGGTATGGTATATTTCAAAAAGCATGTTAATTTTTCTTTTTGGCCTATTAATTGGATTACTTATGAATTATTTCAGATGATGAATTTAAAAACAATGAGGGGATAGGAATTCTGCAATGCCAACATAAATTCCATGGAGATTGCGTAAAGAGATGGTTACATGAACCATATGCAAATCAGAAATATTAGATCATGAGTGGAAATTGGAATAGAAAATACTTATTTCATTATTAATATTGTCGATTTCATTTATTTTATGGTTTTGGAACAATAATAATCATGTTTTATAGATGTTAAAATGTTAACTTTAGGAATTTGTAATGTCAATTGTTTTTAGTTTTCACCCAAATAATTGGATGTAATATAATGCTTCCTTGTATATGTAACAACAAAATTTGGTTTACATTCATAAATTTTTGAATGTCCTACTTTCATATCTTCTTACATAGATTGTTGAATGTCTTATTTTCAAGTATGTGATGAAAAATAATTTTTTTATATTGTAACATTTTTTTGTCCATTATCTGTGTCGCGTACATACATAAATCGCGTTAATTTAATGTGACAACATTTTTATAAATTGAACTGTAAAATAAATTCACTAGTCATTGTTTTATCATTTTAATCAAGAATATATTTCCTTCTATATTAAAAGTTTTAGAAGATTTAATTT